CCCGTTCCGACAGAGCGAGAAGCGACAACGAAGCGAGCAAGTGACAAGACTGTATCATGTCGTTCGTATCACTCGTTTCCCAACAACTGTTGTCGCGTAACTGCTTCAACAACTGGCAGAGAACGGGTTTTTTTCACCGTGGCACACTTATACAGCCTGCATGCCCCCTACAGTATGTCATGTACGTCCACATTGCTTCTGACTTATTTGCTCACCACACTTTGAATTCGAACATCTGCAGAGAGAAAGAGATTGCCAAAGATCGCTCACTTCTATGAACGATTTAAACTTGGGATGCTTTTCACAACTTTCATCGAATATTTTTCTGGCACAATCACAGTAATTTGTGTATCCTGGATAGATTCGAAGAAGTTCATATGAGTACTTTTTCCACATCTGGAAATGGATTCTGAAGAGCTGAAAAGGATACACGCATGAGTATTGTGTAGGTACAGAAGGCAGACGGCAGTGGGCTTCAGACTCTCTCATCCTCAGATACCAGCATGCCACTTCAACGATTATTACTGCGGTAATAACCCATCCTTCGCTCACCCGAATGCAAAGTCAGATTGTCAACTGTGTGAGACAGCTACACTCTCGCACTCAGCTTTGAGTGTTCTTGGCAGAGCCCTTTAGACACCAATGGCCCGGAACTCCAAGGTTCAGGAAAGCTGGGAAGACATGATGCTGAAATTCCCTGCAATATGCTGCTCCACAACTAGTTTTTGGCCAGGACTGGTCAAACTCTTGCGAGCTCCCTGCTGCGTGCATTCCTTGATGAACGTTTTCATTCCTATCGTTGCAAGCGTTTACTGGCATTCCTACTAAGTATTACAAATCATTCAACAGGATAGACTGATTCTAGTGGTATAAACCTACTAAATAGTAGCTCTCCAGCATGAATTGTTCGGTACCAGGCCCACCACTGCCACTTTTTCGAGTACATACTCTCACAAGTAAGCACTGCACTTCGAGCTTGTAGGATAGAGTGAAGACATGGTAGTTAGTTACCTTAGAGTGAGCTCTTAAAAAAGGGCACATCGTTGTTGGGGAATCCCCATTAGAGGGCCATATTTGGCCGCCAGGAGAGGAGGAAGCGTCGTACTTGCTCATTGCTGAGAGGGGGAAGGGGGAGGGGTGGGTCGTACTTACTTTCTGGCCTTTCTAGGAGTGTT